TATGTTAGCGACAGCCCGTAATATAGACTTTAATTGAATCAACAGCATTTTTTTCTCAGTGTAATAACTAATGAGAAATTAATTCATAAAGATCTGCATCCGCTCGATTGTTGTGACGAAGAAAAGATAGCTCAGCGTAAAGCTCATGGCACGTACAAAAATGTAAGGTAGTAAGAGAATGTAATGTTATTGCCTTAGGTTCTCTATTGTGGCTAATTTATAACAATACCTACTCTCTAAAACCTTTGGAGTAAAATGTAATTCTAAAGAATGACAAAGAATGAACTTTCACTTTTAGAAATTGGCAATTGAGCCACTCTTTTTCAAAACTGAATGAAATTTCACTTTTTAGAATTAGATTTTACTGTGAAAATTTTAGAAAGTCTTATCAGGTACCTTGTATATAAATAAAAAATTCGATGCACAACGAAAGCTGTATAACTCGAATCACTATCAAAATTATTTTTGTGCATGTTCATTAATTTCAAGATTTTATCGTTCATCATCAAAATAGTCGTTCTCACACTTCTTACGACGAATTCTTTAACTACTTACGTGAGCATATGAATATAATCAGATAAAAATAAATCCGAACTTTAAAAATAGTGTCAATAGACGTCACATCAAAATTTATTTTACGCATCACTTTTGCTATTATAACGATATATTGACATTTAACTTTTTAGGTTCTCCTGGCGTTTGGTTACTTGATTGTTGGATTTGCGTTGAGTTTTGCTGTATTATTTCACGGAAACAATCAATTTGACAATTTCTGGAGAGCCATCATAAAAACTGTGGTAATGATGATGGGCGAGTACGAGTATAATGAGCTATTCGAGAGCAATTTTCTATCGGTAACAAGCAGAATCGTCTTTGTCGTCTTCATCATGCTTGCCAGTATCGTTCTGATCAATCTCATGATCGGTCTGGCGGTCAACGATATTCAAGGTCTCGAAAAGGAGGTAGGTATGATGTATAATATTCAGAAATAAAACCGGATTTCATTCCGTTCAATATAGATATCCTCTTAATTGCTAAAAGTTAAACTATGCATGTATAAAAGATGTGCAGATTAGTCAGGATTAATCAGAATCGGAATTAATATTATCATATTAGGGCCACATACGTCGATTATTGAAACAAGCGGAGTTTGTCGCACATTTAGAAAGGGTGACATCACATCGAATCTTTCGTAGCAATTGGCTACATCCCCGTTTAAGAATGCTGTTGCACTCGAGACGCGATATTCCCACAAAAATTACGCTGGTCTCTCGTGAAAATTATTTTCATCATATGAGTCATTTCACGGAGGCGCCTCCTAAGATTTCCGCCGATCTAATAGACGCCTTATTTTTGTTAGCCACCAAGAACAATAAGTATGGATTATACAATTTATGCAAAATATATTTTTTCGTACTTACAGTATCGGAAATTGAAACTATCTAACATAGCGCCGTATTATTTTTTAGTTTAACGGATAAAAACATAGAAACTGACGATATGAAGTTGACTTCCATACTAACCAATTTAGAGGAACAAATCCGGGAATTGAAAACACATTGTGTGTACAACTATCGTAATTTGACAGATCGAAGATTGTCGAAACGACACGGACTCAAAAGAAAACCTGTCCAAAAAAGATATATAAATACTTAATACATTGCATGTACTTGCAACATTGTAATCGTTTTTAGTATGCTGGATGTTAGCCTGTAGGCAACAATATTTACGATCATTAATTAAAGTGCTATACAAAAATTTAATTTTACCTTATTACTACACTAAGAGAAAAATGCAGTAAATTTTAATAAATATTTGTTTGAACAATGCTAGTTGAATATTTACTAAATATATATTTATTTTATACAAAAATCACAAATTTGATTTAATTATTATTATTTTTTATTTAGCAAATATTTATTTTCCGTAAATATATTAATATTATTGAAATTATTTATTGAAATTTAATACATTTTTTCTCAGTATACGTATCACATTTATTAATACAAAACAACATATTTTCTGTAGAATAAAATTTGGAAAGCGAAATGCACCTGCACAACGCTTACACATAATGGTAAGTCAGCGATCCGTCTTATCTTCTCAGTAAAATTAGGTCTAAAGAGACCTAACAGATATATCATACAGATGTCACTACGAAACTAGTTCAAATCATTCGAATTCTTTGCAGCTGTCCGCCTGGAATCTATAATCATGATTCATATCAAGTATTTAACGAATTTTAATTTGTTCGGTACAATTAAATTTTTATTATTTATTCCGATTGTTGATTTTACACGTTATTGCCTTTTCTTCCATCATTCAAGTAATGACGATTTCGATACGTTTATGATATTAAAGGCATAAAGAGACCTGAGTCCTATTTTTAATTTCATTAAAACATAATTTAGAGTGACGATCAGGCGAAATCTAAACGTAATTGATAAAGCCGAATTACACAATAATTAACAATATTAACGGTATGTAAAACGCTAAATCGTCGTTTCGTCGCGTCCAACGTAATGTTCGAATGCGACACGCGCTGTGGTACCTCTGGATATATCCCGGTATTAAAGACTTTTTTTTATTTTTCAACCATGATATGTATTTAACTGGCGGGTTTTGCGTGTTCACGTCTCCATATATCCGACTACTAAATAGCCGTGCGTATTACTCGCGATGCTGCAGCAGCAGCAGCAGCCGAGAATTACGCAGCCGAAAAATATTGCGGAGCATAAATTATAAGCCGGATAAGTATATTTGCAAAATGTACGCTCTTTCCCAACGGTATATGGTATGGCAGCAGCAAACTCCCACTATAAAATGTGCAATTTTGCTGTCTTACTCGTTTCTAGTGTTCCTACTTAATCCTTTATTACGTATAGGAGCTGGATAATAATTTTATAGAATTCTACTAATGACGCAACGAAAGATAAAAATCTATATCATAATAAGTACAACGGAATTTTATTTGAATTCTGTTTCGTGATGTAATAAAATTATACTTTATTATATCATGTACAGGTGAATCGCGATAGAACGAATATATATCGAAATGTTTAAATATTTGCACTCATTTTCAAGCGTATATTAATCATGCAGTAGTCAGTGCTACGATAGATCTATTGCATTCGTAAAGTTTGCGAGACTAATTAAAAATTTATTAAAATTATGAAAGAGCTGCACTCGTAGAGTGATGTGGCTAAAATTTAGTTTAGGTGACGGTGTAAAAAGGAACAACGGCGGCAAAAAGCGAGAGTCGAAAAAATTCGCTGAAAGAGACTCGCGAGAGGAGGCCGGCTTTCATAGGCGATGCGAATTTAGATGCTTTCATGACGTATTAAATTCGCTTGTACGTCGGGGTCCATGTATATGTTTCAACGGCGTTTCAGCGGCACGCACCG